GTGAGTCGTGACTCCTCCTATCCCTGTGTTAATCAAATTTGTCCCCCGCCCAAACCGTTGTTATAATTGCACTTTTTTTGAACCAAAAAGAGCAAAAGGGTTAAGTTGAAAATTGAAAACCTTATTATTTATTTTTTATTATTTATTTTTTCGACTCTTTGTACTCTAAAGGGGAGCAGGCTTTCATCGTCAAATCGCTTAAAAGAACAGAGAACACATTATTCCAGCATATTTTCTTATTCGACAATGCCTTTTATTATTTAATATTAATACATATAATGATGAATTGTATAATAAAAAATAAAATTTTTTAAATTCTTTTTAATTATTTTAAAATTTAAAACTAAAACTCGAAATATTTACCACTTAAGAGAGCTTGGTTATATTTTTTAAGATTGTTTTGAGATTGAAGAAGTTATGACGTCCTGATAAATAAAATACCATGTATGATAATAAAAAAAGCTTATTAAATATCTTCAAAAATCAACAAAAAAAATATTAAAATAATTTCACAAATAATTATATATTATAGTGTTTAAAATATCAAACCCTCTTAATTACTTTTCTATCTTTTTATCTCTTTTCAAAAAAAAAAAAAAAAGAAGCAAGAGAAAAACAAAAATGATAGCAGCAATATCTCTTTTCAAGATATTAGCATTGCGACGTGGATGCGCCACAAAGGAGAACGACCGTTTTCAGTTACTTCATTGGACCAGAGCTCCCTGCGCAATATATAGAATCACAAACCCAAGGCAATCTTCTACATCAAAATCCTCCTAGACATTTTCATCTCACTCGCCTGTTACGATGGCCACTTCCCTGAAGAACAACTTCCTTCCTCCGTCGCTGATTTCCAACCTCCATAGAGTTCTGATCACCAGAGACAACGATGTCCAACAAGAATACGGCGAAAGCTTCGGATCACCCCTTTCCTCCTCAAGCAATGGTGAGCCAAACACTCATAGTAATCATTCAAAGCCAGTGGTTCTGGTGACAAATGGCGAGGCAATAGACTCTCCTGGACTCACATTCCTTGCTGAAGCTGTAGTCCTTGATGGTAGCTTCAGTGTTCATGTCTGCGCTCCTCACTTGTCAGTTTCATCTCGAAATTTCCTTTATATCTTGTTTCTGCATTAAACTGATTCTAAATTCAATTCCTTATCAAGATGTGGTTAATCAGTTTACCTTTTTCTTAATTTCAAGCTAGATCAGTGTAAAATATGAATGCTAACTAGATCATGCACTGCTTTGTCTTCATTTAATTTAATTTTTTCCCATCCTTGCTATGTCATTGGTACAGGGATAAGTCAGCCTCTAGTCATTCTGTAACTATACAAGAGACAATCACTGTATCTTTGGCTGAAATCAGTGGTGCCATTGCTTATGAAGTTTCTGGTTCTTTTCTTACTTTACTTTTTTCTGTTGTTTCTCTGATTAAAGTTACATCAATTACGCCACGAGACTTGTTGCCATTCACCATATGCTCTAGTGTTTAATGGTTTTCTTAACTGTGCATGTTTGCTGTTTGCCAAGAGTTTCTGCTTTCTACTCGTTAGAACGATGAAAGCACAAAACAATTTTTGGTTTGATTTGGTAAAGTTAATGGAAACTGATCTTATTGCTGGTGTTTATGATCAGGAACACCTGTGGATTGCATCTCTTTGGCTTTGTCTGGAATGTTATTTTCTTGGTCAAGGCCTGTTTTTGTATCCACTAACTTCCTAATAGTTTCAACACAAATGCTATTCTTTTTTTTCTTTTTTTTTTTTGATACATCTAAATGGGTTATACAAGAGAAGATAATCATCCCCTTTTCCTAAATCCCTTCTCATCTAACTCAAGATTGGAACTTGAGATTTCCAATTTGGAATTTCTAACTTTTAGCCATTGAGCCAATTCCTTAGGGGACATCAATGCTATTCTTATATGTAATATATTCTTCTTTTCAAAAATTCAGGTAATTAGTGGAATAAACAGAGGGTCAAGCTGTGGGCATAACATGTAAGTAGTATGCAATGCAATCTTCATAGCCGAAACCATTGCCTTCTTATTTGAAGATATTTATGCTAAATAAGGCTGCTGTTGTTTGAATTCTATGTCTTGTTCTGTTCTAGGTTCCACTCAGGAGCTATTGCTGCAGCTCAAGAAGCAGTAATCTCTGGAGTACCATCTCTTTGCCTATCATTGAACTGGTAAATATCAAGTCCATGTAGTTTCTTCTTGAATTTTTCTGTTTTCCACTGTTTTAGAAGTTTATAATGTTTGGTTTTGATATTGATTACAGGAAGAAGGATTTGAGCTGCAAAAGCGACTTATAATATGCAGCCAATGTTTGTTTGCCTTTAGTATTTGCAGCTGTGAGAGATATTGAGAAGGGAAATTTTCCTGAAAGTTGCTTGCTAAACATAGAAATTCCTCCTTCCCCCCTGACAAACAAGGTAAACAGTTCTGATTTTCTGTTTTATAAAGTCCTCTTCTTGAATCTTTTTGAGCGAACTACATCCTGATCTTCATAATAGAAATCGAAATGCTACCATTTTTTCTAGTTCCCTTATAGCTTGAAGACATCTTTATAGGCCATGACTAGAGCATTTCATGCCATTTTGGTTCAATGGTGTGTAACAGGGATTCAAATTGACCAAGCAGAGTCCCTTTAGATCCTCTTTAAGCTGGAAACCTGTTTCAGCTAACAGGCATGCTGCCGCTCCCCAATTCATGTCCAATCAACAAAGTCTCGGTATCAAGCTTAGCCGGGATGCCTCTGTAGCTGTAAGTACCCTCTTACATGACTTTACGTGGGTTCCTGTTTTAAGATTATCCCAGGCTCAGGGCTTGAATGACATTTATCTTCTGGATTTCCTAGGGTGCAGCAAGGCGCTTGAACTCACGTTACAAACAAGTTGAGATTGAATCTGTTGGGGTTGCCGGAAAAAATCCTGACCCAAAAACAGAGAAGAGATAATTTCGTTTAGAGGTATGAAGAATAATCCACAAGCATTTTGCAATTCCAGCAAATGTTACAGCGTCCCCCTTTCCCTCTCCTTTTCTTTCTCTTGATTTCCCGCAACATGTTGACTGACTATTGTTAGACACCGATATTACAGCTTGTGGAACAGAAACTTGAAAATGCAGATGATGATCTAGATTATACAGCACTTGAAGATGGATATATAAGTCAGATCTTCCTAGTCCACAATTTCTCGCCGCATTGACCGTGTCAAATTGCTTATCTGGCTTTGTTCGGATTGGCAGGTCACAATAATTCCAATATCTTTACCTTCAACTAAAGATCAGTCCAAGATTCAAACATTGGTCTCAAAATGGATAGACACTGCACTCATCCGGGACCAATGAATCTTCCTCCGCCTCTACTTCGAGGTAGTCTTACGTACATTAGACGGTGTTCTCTTGTCTTCTCGTCAACCGTCTATTCAATGCTGGCGACAACTGCAGCGTGAGAGTGATTTATTTTCGTTTAGTCACTGGCGGATTCTCTTTCTTTTTTTTTTTGAACAGGATAATTTAAAGAAGAGAAAATGTCATTTATGGAGCTTAAAGGCTTGAAATAAGAGATGATTCCCACGATCAATAACCTGTTGATTTTGGTGGAAAGAACT